GGTATCAAACGATTGGACATAACCAAAAATTCATATTTTATCTCAACTACCTGTCCTTCCTTGATAGGCACTTTTCCTATGAACATACTAAATGTAGCGCCGTGTATCAAAGATGGACAAGACGTTATAATATCTAATGTACTCGTCTATTGAGAAACAATGACCATTTTATCATTTTTTTTTTTTTTTGTAAAATTTCTTCCATCGTGTGAAGCACCATCTTTAACTACGTTCGAGATACGTATAAATTAATTAAATGCCATAAATTAATCGAAACATTTTCTAATTCAAAACGTATAGAATAGAGATAACTCACCTTAAAACTTATACGATCGGGTTTAAAGGCAGAATTCTTAGACGTGAATAAATCTGCAGCTACTCTGCGATCAACGCCTATATCTTTTTCATTGCCTTCTTTGAATCGGGGCATAATGTGGGGCATATAGCATAATGCATAAAACGTTATTTTTAGAGTCCTCCTACATTATATTACCTATTTGTGGTAGTAGGTTTAGGTCTACATTTTCTATCTTCATTATTGCAGTCTTTTTCATGACATCTTGATCCAGCATCGAATGAAAGAGCGATGGATGAACGCGAATTTGACATAATTTCAGTCAAAAAAAAAAAAAAAAAAAAAAAAAAAAAAAAAAAAAAAAAAAAAAAAAAAAAAAAAAAAAAAAAAAAAAAAAAAAAAAAAAAAAAAAAAAAAAAAAAAAAAAAAAGAAAAAAAAAAAAAAAAAAAAAAAAAAAAACAATTTCGTGGGCTTTCACGTGATGTAACGACAATAATTTGTTGTATGCCTTCGTAAAGTGAGTATTTTTATCTGAAAAGGGAGAGCGAACAATTATTTCGAAGAACTATTTACCGTACAACTTAACCACGTACACTTGGGTTCGAAAGAAAGGATGGTTTTTCGTATCTTCCGCCGCTTGAAACAGCCATATGATCTTTCTCTGCCCTTTACACCAAAACTTGCGCGAACAATGTACGAGAATAAATTAATACTTTTTCATATACAAACTGTTCCTGTGAATTGAGCTTTATAAATATCTCATTTATAAACTTTTCCGACAAATTGTCTAGCTTTTCATTAGTTTGAAGCTTTTACTTCGTTCTACGCAACATTAACATTTTCATCATAGTTGCTAATCATTGACAACCAGCGGCATTTTTGTTATCTACCCAACGTTTTCACACTCGAAGATCATTAAAAGGTGAACACTTCAAAAACTTTAAAATGGAATATAAATCCAACTCCCAGTCCTGAATAGATGTGCCAGTAAGAGCCTACCGTTTTCTCCCTAAGAGACCACATACTGTTTGGCAGGCTTGAGACTTTTATGATTTCCAATGAATCTTATATAGTGTAGAGTTTGACTTAAATTCATGGATTAAAATATTATACGCTGTAATAACTACGTCCTTTCTCGCTAATCCTTTTGCCACATGTTCTTGATTTGTACTATGATAAACTTCAACGGTAAGAATATCTCGTTTGCATCTCTGATTTATTGCCTTTTCCCACTGCGACAACAAAGATGCTGGACAAGCTACAAGCGTACCTCCTTTATATCGCAACGGTTTATCATTATCCATTCATTCATCGTCACTGCAATCTTCCCCCTCTTTTAATTTCGTTTTAGCAATGCTAGCTACAATGAGGCATCATTGTTAAAGTTTTACCCAAACCCATATCATTGGCAAGAACATCGCCAAGAGGTCTTTGTTGCGCCCTTCAGATCAACCACGCCAATGCGTGTTACTGATGCGAGATTAAGTTCATATTTAAGCCTTTTAAATCTTCCGCTCTTTCATCCTCGGCCCAGTCTATCTACGAGAGATCCATGCAAATCTTGTAATCTATCAACTGTTAAAGCTAATTCTTTGTCGAACGTTGTTTGAGCCTTTTTTCCGAGTTCTTTAGCTTTTGGAGATGATCTTGGTTTGATCGGTATACCATCTACATCGTAATAAGTGTCAAGGGTCTAGACGAATAAACGTGTGATACGTCAATTGAAAAAGCTTCCTAGGAAAACCATTTCGACAAAGTTTTAGCCTTCTACCCCTATTATTAGGGTAGTTATCGACCTAACTACTCTTAACTTATAATTTTCAGTTCATGCCTCACTTCTTTTGTTCTATTCGATAAAAAAATATGAAAAAAATGATATATCTACTATAGCCAAAGTGTTACATATCTGAGAATGTTTCCAGATTTTATGACTGAAAAACCTATTTTTAAAAAATTAAATAACATTTAGAATGCCAATTTTTTATTGATGTTATCAAAAGACAACATTTATATTTTTACAGTAAAAGCTGCCTGTCATGTTTATTGACTCATAACTTTTTTAGATTTTTTGGAAAAGGGCGTCATTCCGTAAGAATTCCGTAAGAATCCACACTACCTTGCCTCTCCACTCCAGGAGTGATGGGGTGTCTTTGGAAGATTTCCCTCATGTAAAAAAAAAAGATATATCCAAATTAAGTGTATTGATTTACTTAAACATGTGAAAGTATTTGGAAATGCATATAATGACCATTTAATGAATAAAGTATGTCGATTATACGAATATGCCACTCTGCGTTCGAAAGGTTAGGAGATATCGGTTTATAATTTTTTTAAGTATGAACCACCTCTCAAAAAAATCTGAAAAAATTACACATTAATATCCATAACAAGACACTAATACTGTAAAAATATAAACGTGGTCGTTTGATAATTTCAATATAAAACCAACATTTATATACTTTCCGAATTTTTTAAAAATCGATTTTGCAGTCAACAATTCTGAAAAAAATCACAGACATGTATGCCATTGGGTAGCACATCCATGATTTTTTTCATACGTTTTCATTGAGCAGAATAAAAGAAATGGAGCTTAAACTGTAAATTACGTTTCGCCCTGTAACTACCCTAGTAATAGGGGTAGCAGCTTGATACTTGGCAGAAAGGGTTTTCTTCGAGTGATCTATCGAATGATATGCACCAAGATCGATTCGGTTTGAGGGCACTTTTACCATGCTTATTCGGCTAGATCCTTTGCCAAAACTGATCAGAGAAAGATTAGTCCAACTTTGTGATCGTAATGAACAAGAAAGTACTTCAAACCAAAATACAAAACCAGTACACTGTTCACACTGTTCTTCAAAGAAAAACTGGAAAACCAAGTACAATTGTAGTAAATGCCAAAAATACTTCTGTTTGGAACACACAAATATGATATGCCAAGATTGCTATGTTTCAAAGTTTGAAAACAATTAATTCCTATTTTCATGATTCCACACATTTTAATTTTTATGTTTCGTTAGATTTTTTTTTTAGTTTATGAAAAAAAATTGATTTTTTAAAGTTTATCTGCTGTATATAGCTTTAAATTTAAATTATTAAAAATTGTATCTATAGACTGATACAAAAATAAATATTATTCCAAATCATTTTGTGTATTTTTTCATTCGATAATAATTCCAAATAAATATTAAAAATGAATTACATGAAACTGTACAATGTAAATACCATATTCCGATCATTTAAAAATTGGTGTGAGAGAAAAATTACGCGAGTTCAGGAAGGTTAATATCATCTAAGGAGTAGAATGATTACAATATTCGTTTAATGTTATTGTGCTTAATAAAATACAATACCATTTAAAACATTGTCATTAGTGTTACATTCTTCGCGACTACTGGCGGATACAAAGTCAATTTCATTATGACCACAGGTATCTCCATTGCTAAAATAATAGGACATACACTTACCGACAAAAGTTAAAAAAAAAAGCAGTCGCTCGGTAATTCTATAACATGTATTATTTTTTCAATTCTGTATACTATTAAATAAACAAAATATGAAAGGTATATCATTTTTAGTATAAATACATAAATATATATATTAAATCTACCTTAGTTTGATAGATATAAGCGTGAGAAATAAATATGACCAAAATTAAATGAGACAAAAGTTAAGAAACATTTATTTTACAATAAGTATAGTTGAATATAAAAGAGTAAATTTTTATTAACGCATTAATAACGTGCCGAAAATCCCTTGGATCGTATTACTGCTTGACATCTTGACGGAATTAACTTTATTAATTTTATACAAAGTTCTATTGGAATTTCGGACCATATTTTTGTTACTTTTTGCATTAATTCGTCTTTGTTGCTATATATTTGCGTTTTTAATTGTCGTGCAACATAGTCCCACATGTGCTCTATAAGATTTAAATCTGGTGACTGACTGGGCCACTTAATAACATTAACATTTTCTTCTGCTAAAAACCCTTTTTCTAACTTGGAAGCATGTTTAGGGCCATTATCATGTTGAAATGACCAATCCGTACACAATTTTTCTCTTGCAAATGGTAGCATATGATTTTGCAATATATTTTTATATAAAAATCTGTCCATAATATCTGTAATTTGGATTAATGGACCAGTACCATTAATCGAAAAGCAACCCCATACCATGACATTTCCACCTCCAAATTTGACTGTTGGTTTGAGGTATTTAATGTTAAACCTTTGGCCAGGCAGTTGTCCCACATTGTTTCTAGCATCATTATCGAACAGATTGAACTTGCTTTCATCACTCCACAAAATCTTTGCCCATTGATCATCTGTCCAATTAATATGCTCCTTAGCAAATTCTACTTGTGACTTTCTGTTTTTTGGTGAAATATATGGTTTCTTTGCTGCTTTACATGCAAATAGATTATTTTCACGCAATCGACGACTTATAGTCTTGGTGCTAATTTTTCAAAGTTTTAATTCACTTTTTATTTGTGTAGTTACTATAAAATGGATTAATTTTTGAACATTTTATAATTCTACGATCCATCCTTTCACTGGTTTTTCGAGGTCTACCTCTCCGCAATGCTGTTTTAACAGTATTACTTTGTTGAAATCATTGTACAATTTTTGTTACTACACAACGGTTCACATTAAATGTTTTAGCAATGTCTATTTTTTTTGTCCTTCATTGAACATTTTAATTATAACTTGTTTCTCTGCTTCTGTTAAATAATGCCTACTTGCCATTTTTATAACAACTAAATCGGTCTGTCATGTTTGATGTTATACATGTAACTAACTAAACGTCAATATGAAATAAAAAAAAAAATGGAAAACAGTCACCTATCCAGAGAAACAACATTGTCGATATATGGTTTCTTAACTTTTGTCCGCACGAAAATAGCCCATTTCTGTTATTAAATACAGAATATAACCACTATATAGTATATCAGAAATAATTTTTATCAATTTCTAATCTATGAAGTCATAGCTTTCTCATAGTATAAGTAATATTAATTTATTCCTGTTATATAATGATAAATATTAATTAAATTATGTGAAATTGATTTGTTTCTAAACTTTTGTCGGCAAGTGTTTGTTTCCTAATTCTCTCCCTTATTGTTTCTTCTGTTAACGATGATTTTTCAGACGAAGAAAAACTAGACCTTAAAAAGTATAACTGAATATTAAACAATACAATATTTAAAGATGAAATAGAACTGAAAGTTGATAAAAACAATGACTTACTTTTCAGGTGTTACATTTAAAAATATATTTATGCTATTTCCGCTACTTTCGATAACAAAAACTTACTCTTTCTCTTCATTTTTATAAACATCTTCCTCACTGTCAAAAATAACAAAAGACTTGTCTTTTGTAAAAATTTTATTAATAGAAATAAAAATTTTCCGTTAATAGAAAATATACAGAAATATTATAGGCAAATTATATTTGTTCGATGGCAATTTTAACTGAAACTTTTTAAACTAATAAATATGACGCGAACATAGACTACACATTAATATAGTCGACATATTATCTTAGTTTTTATAACATAACATAAATTAACATTTTGAACGATGATTATACTAATTAAAGAAATAGGAATAAATGCAAAAAACATACTAAAATGGTATTTGTAAGTTAGGGGTTAACAAGAATAAAAAAAAGTAATTCTTATTTTTTTATCGAACATACTGTTACGCTATCGTGTGAACGTAGCTTTAATCACTCGTCGTGCATGCTCGTGAATATAGCTTCAGGGTGGTCATAATCTAGAAAGATCGACGCGCACAGCTGGAGCGCAATTTGAATTGTCAATAATGTATGTTTCAAAAAGATAGACTGTATCTGGAAATCGTCTAAAGATGGGATGCGTGGTACGGCGATGGAAAGTTAGAACTCGGGAACGGAAATGCTTTGTTATTGTAGTCGAAAGATTTTAATTAAGAACCGTAACCAATTGAGAGTTTAAGTTTAAGCCACGTAGACTTTCTCGACAGGATGTTTATTTCGGGACTCAGAAATGTACGCTCTTCGTTCTGTTTTGTATCTCAATGATATCCAGCCGAGTCAACTAGCTAGAACTTTAAAAAGGTAATAAATATTATTAAGGGTTAGTTCTCGCGCGAATTGTTATGTGCACATTTTCTCTTGCATGTCATATCACGTTGGCGGTTATATCAGCGTTGCGTTTCCACCATTACCAACGAAGCGCTACCACCGTCATCCACTAACGAAGGATCGGGGGTGAAATACGTGTGGGAGAAGAAGCGCCGATCTATGGGGTGGAAACTGTCTCTCGATTGGACCACCATGATCTGGAAGGAGGACCAGAGGAGGATCCAGATTCTGTGAGAAGAACAAGAAGAAAGACTTCACATCCAAAAATTTCCCAAGTCATTCATTCGGTTCTGTATCTTGAGTCTTGAAACTTCGTAATCCTTAAAGGATTTTGAAACAGTTTTACAATATAAAAGTATCAGTTGCAACGAAAATCTGCTAAGTTTATTTGAATATTCCCCTACCACAGCGAGCAGAGGGCTTAGCGCTCCACGGGCACCAACCGATGATCTCTTTTCCCGTGACTACCGCAAAATACGTAACAATACAAGCCTTATGTCTTAAAAACTAGAAGTAATATTAAATGGTAAGATTTAACATTTGATACCTTGTCTAAATTTAATTTTCGGGGATATGATTAAATTTATGTTAGTATATAATTTATTTAATTATTCTAGCCTTGGTATTTTTCTGCGAACATCAGAAAATTTAATCAACGTACAGCATTATCAGTGGTTCTCTTTTGCTAGGGTTTCTCACACAGAGATATCAGGATTGTAATAATTTCCCTATTAACGAAAGATTCCTGAGTCTAGTTGGATTTAGCATTAAGTTGTTGTTCTTGTTTGAATACGAGACATTCAAGTTATTCGAGGCAACGTAAATCCTGTCAATTGGAAGCACTTATCATCGAAACTTAAAAAAATGGCCGATTTCTTGGATTCAGAAGCAGAAGAAAGCGAGGTACATATTTATATCATTAAATTAAATATCATTATATCCATAATACTGTAAAATCCTAGTTGAATCGTTTAATATTCGTTACTGATCGATGTTCTCTTACGATGTAGGAGGAGGAGGAGTTAGACGATAATGAAAAAAAGAAATTAAAGAAAATTAAAGCTGTGGAAGAAAGTGAGGAAGAAGAGGAGGAAGGTGAGGATAGAGTAATACGTTCCAAGGTTGTATCTAAACTTTTTTGAAAAAATTCTTGTACATTGAAATACAACAATAGAATTTAGAATTGCTCCATTATTAGGTGTGAGTAATATATTTGTCATTTTCTTACAGATGATGAAGATCGCTTACGTGAAGAACTTAAGGACTTGATCGATGATAATCCAATAGAAGAAAGTGAAGGAGAAGACAGCGACGCTTCTGGAGGATCTAAGAAACGTAAAAAGAGTGACGATGAGGATTTTGATGACCGTCTAGAAGATGAAGATTATGATTTGATAGAAGAAAATTTAGGAGTAAAAGTTGAGAGGGTATGTGTGAATGAATTTGTTCATTTAAGAAATAAGAAATTTTACAAATAAAATGACACAATTCTTTACTTTAGAAACGTTTCAAACGCCTCCGCAGGATTCAAGATGAAGAGTCAGAGGAAGAGCAGGAGAAGGAAGTGGATGATGACAGAGATGCTATCGCGAATGAGCTTTTCGAAGGCTCTGGAGATGTAAGTTAAATTTTGAACATTATCTCTTAGTCATGCAATGGAATTATTTGTATCATGTATCAGAGAGATTTATATTATCCTCTTTGACAATTTGCGTATTACAAGATTAATATTTCATACCTGTTTTTATACTTACATCAGGAAAGGGAAATTAATATATGTAGGAGTCTATATATACATATACAGGGTGTCATGTAACTGGTGGTACAAGCAGAAAAACTAAATCGAAAATATAGAATGAAACTTTTTCATACGGGGCTTTTCTGAGAAAATTGAATTTAAAGATTCGCTCCAAATTGTTGCTTCTACTCATACTTTTACGTTGATAAACACTGGTAATGTCACATTTCGCAAAGAAATAATCTACGTGGAAGATAGTGTAAATATGCAGCTAAAAGAAAGAATCATATAGGCTTTCACACAATTAAGCATCAAAATAGTGTATCATCAGTCCACGACTCTCCAATTTAAAAAGCTAGGATTTGTGTGCATTAATACGAATGTCACTTTCAACATTTTGTATAATAATGTAAATTTAAATTAAGGAAATCATTTTCCAAAACTAAACATGTTATGAAAAAGTTTTATTCTATATCTTCAATTCAATTTTTCATATAGAATCACCACCTTCTCACTTGTATCATCGGTTACATGACACTCTGTATATGTATACAGTATAGGTTAGGTTTTATAATAAAATATGGTATCGAGGGGGACATATTATGATGATAATTGTTTGACCTTGAGGTAACATTGGAGAATCCTGTAAAGGTCACTTTTAAATTGTTAAATGGAACTCCATATTTTGTATTGCATATTCTTATAGTTAATACTGAGATGTAGTCAAAACACTACCTACACAGTAGCCGTTATTGAGTTATTAACTTTCAAAGTTTACGTACCACCAGCATTAGCATTGCCGGACATACACCGCAATCAGTACCGAAACTCAGTAACGGTGTAGTGCGGGATATTAGTAGGTCCGTATTTTTTGGACGGAACGATCAATGGACAAAAATATTTACAATTTTTTGCAAACATACCTAACTGACATTTTGAGCAATATGGAATTAGAAGAAAGAAGAAATATATGGTACCAAAAAGGTGGTACACCCCCACATTACTTATCAGCAGTAAAAAACTGATTAAATGAAAATTTTCAAAGTAAATGGATTGGACGTGGCGGTCTAGTATCATGATCACCGCGATCGCCAGATTGTTCGTCGTGCGATTTCTTTCTGTGGGGATACCTAAAACAAATAGTTTATCGCACTTCAGTTGAAAGTGTAATGGAATTACGCCAATGAATAAGTAATTCGCATGTGCAAAAATAACATCTGTTTATGTCGATCTATGTGGACCGGCGGTTGATTTTTGCTTTAAGCTAGGCTGCCGCGCCGGTCTGAGCCTTAACTAAAGGTATTAACTATGGTATTATATAGAAAATATAATATTTTATTAAAAACTAATGTAATTTATTAAAACAATTTAAACAAAGATGCGGGTTTCCTTTTCACATGTTACAGTAAGTTACTACTCTTTTTGTTAAGTTTTTTGCCGATTTTCTATGAAATTAATTCAGTGGATGTATCACTTTCTAAATCTGACAACATTGTAAATTGTGTGGACAAAAAAATTTCGAAAATCTTTGATATGGTCTGCTTAGAGAACGAAACTGTACCATAGACCGGCATAGCGTGAACGGAAACTCTCGTGCTGGTCCCTACGGACCAGCGTGGGCAGTTAATGTGTTAATAATGGAGGACATGTTGAAGGATAGGCACCTTAGATTAGACTATTTTGAAAAACACACACACACACATTCGTTCCGTTTTAGAGCCACCATGATGTACAAAGTCCGACCGAGCAACCTCCTCGCGGTGTACATTGAGTAACTCTAATACCGTCAGCACATAAACTTTGAAAGTTAATAACTCAACAGTGGCTTACGAAAAATACATGTGTAGGTAGTGTTTTGAATACGTCTCAGTATTAACTATAAGAATATGCAATACAAAGTGTAGGGTTTCATTTAAAAATTTAAAAGTGACCTTACAGGACTCTCCAGTGTTATCTCAAGGCCAAACAATTATCATTATAATATGTCCCCCTCGATACCATACAACTTTTATCTGAAACATTTTTTTGCATTTCCGATACTTACAGAAATAATCACGTGTAGACATTTAAAATGGACATACTATACATATAAAATCAAATTTACGGATAGTGAAATATGCTTCTACCTGTTTTTGTGTAAGTTCGATTTTAATAGAATAGAACTTCTATCGTAAATATCTCAATAAATACTAATTTTAGATATATTACACCTTAATATTTATTTACTCAGCTCTCATGCTCTCTTAATTTCCGTAAAGAAATATAGGGTGTTCCATTTAAAAAAATCATGGTGACCTTCAAAACTTTATGTATAAAAACAATGTAGAAAAAACAATTATTGTAATATATGTCCCCCTTGAAATCATGCAACTTTTGCTTCATACACTATTTCGTTCAGCGAATAGTTTACGAGCAATTTCAGGTCGTCAAGTTCGGTGAATCACTCTGTATATAGAGTGCATCTAGTAACTGGGTCGAGTTATAACTCGGTTGTTATTGAAGATAGAAAAAAATTATAGAGGAAAATTTTCCATGGTTTAACAAGCTGTATATCATCCTGTAATGCGGCTTTTTACGCAAGTGCATCGGTGCAGCAGTTGCGAAGTAGCGCAGTTACTAGATACACCCTGTATATAATCATACCTGTAAGGGATATTTCTTTGAATATTCCTTTTTCATTCTTCCCTTTTTCGTTCGCCTGATTTATTTATTTGTTCTTATTGTGCAATAGGAAGATGAAAGAAGAAGCGAACGCAGTCACAGGCCAGAAGCGGACACATTCGACGAAGAAGGAAGCGAAGGAGAGTACACAGACGCAGATGATTTTATTGTGGACGATGATGGCAGACCGATTGCCGAAAAACGGAAAAAGAAAAAACCAATCTTTTCTGATGCTGCACTTCAAGAAGCTCAAGATATTTTCGGCGTTGATTTTGATTACGATGAATTTGGTAAATACGGTGAAGAGGACTATGAGGAAGAGGAAGAGGAAGAAGAAGATGAATACATGGATGATGAAGATGCCGAAAGACCAAGAAGGCCAAAAAAACAGTTGAAAAAGAAAACTACGAGGAAAAGTATTTTTGAAATTTACGAACCAAGTGAACTTAAACGCGGTCATTTCACCGATATGGATAACGAGATACGAAATACAGACATACCAGAAAGAATGCAACTTCGGTCCGTTCCTGTTACACCAGTCGCAGAAGGTTCGGATGAGCTAGATCTAGAAGCAGAATGGATCTATAAACAGGCTTTTTGCCGTCCAACCGTTTCGATTCAAGACGCCCATTTGAATGCCGAAGCTAAGGAAAGGGCTCGAAAAGGACCTCAGACGATCGGTAAAATTAAGAAGGCTTTAGACTTCATGCGAAATCAGCACTTCGAGGTTCCTTTCATATCGTTTTACAGAAAGGAATACGTTTTACCGGAATTAAACATTAACGATCTTTGGAAGGTGTATAAATTCGATGCAAAGTGGTGTCAACTTAGTCAGAGAAAAGAAAATTTATTAAAATTATTCCATAAAATGAGGAATTACCAATTAGACGAGATTATGAAAAACCCGGATGCCCCTTTGCCAGATAATGTACGACTGATTAAAGACGATGACGTAGAACGATTAAAAAATGTGCAAACCAACGAGGAACTGAACGATGTTTATCATCACTTCATGCTGTACTATAGTCATGAGATACCAGCGATGCAGGAGGCTGCTCGTCAAAAGGAAAAAGAAGCACGTAAAGAAGCAAAGATTCAGAAACGAAAGCAAGAAATTGCGGACGCAGAAGAAAATGGTGAGGATCCGCATGCGACGGAGGAGGAAGTCGAGGGAGCAGAGGAAGAAGGAGAAACGGACGAAACGTTGAAACAGGCGGTTCGAACTGGCCCATATTCTATTTGTAGACGAGCTGGTCTCGACAGCCTCGCGAAAAAATTTGGTCTTACTCCTGAACACTTTGCTGAAAATTTGCGGGACAACTATCAACGACACGAGGTAGATCAGGAACTCACTGAACCTTTAACTATTGCCAACGAATACTGTAGTCAAATACTTAATAGTCCTGAAGAGGTACTGAAAGCTAGCCAATTGATGGTAGCTATACAGTTAGCGCGTGAACCTTTGGTAAGGAAATGCGTTCGGGAAATGTACATGGAAAGGGCAAAAATATCGGTGAAGCCAACGAAAAAAGGAATGAAAGAGATAGACGAAAACCATCCAATTTACGGGATGAAGTATCTGAAGGATAAACCGGTGCGAGATTTGGTTGGTGAACAATTTTTAAATTTGGCGATAGCCGAGGAGGATAAATTAATCACGATTACGTTGAGCGATAGCATCGAAGGGAATACGAGTAACAACTACGTTGATGAAATGAAGCAGCTCTATTATCGAGATGAGTTTAGCAAAAATGTTCAGGATTGGAACGCGTTGAGAGTGGGAAGCGTTGAAATGGCTCTTACGCGCATAGTCCTACCGAGCCTGAAAAAAGAGCTAAGGGGGAATCTGATAGCGGAAGCGAAGGAGTGCGTGATGAGGGCATGTTGTCGTAAAATGTATAATTGGATCAAAGTGGCTCCTTACACCTGTGAATTTCCAGAAGAAGAGGACGAAGAATGGGACACCAGCAAGGGACTTCGAGTAATGGGGTTAGCGTATGTTCCAGATTATTCTCAAGCCGCGTTCACTTGTCTGATCGCTCCGGATGGAGAGTGCACGGATTATTTGAGATTGCCTCACCTGATGAAGCGAAAGAACAGCTATCGAGAGGATGAGAAAATGATGAAAGAGGCTGATCTGTTGGGGATTCGAAATTTTCTATCGACAAAAAAACCGCACGTTGTAGTGATAAGCGGAGAATCGAGGGAAGCGATGATGATAGCGGCTGACGTTAAAGAATGCATAGCGAACCTGGTGGAGGAGGAACAATTCCCGGGCATTCAGGTGGAAATTTGCGACAATGAACTAGCTAAAATCTACTCGAATAGTAACAAAGGGATATCCGAATTTCGGGATTACCCTGAATTATTGAGGCAGGCTATTTCATTGGCAAGGAGAATGCAGGATCCGTTGGTAGAATTTTCACAGTTATGCACCGCTGACGAGGAAATATTGTGCTTGAAGTATCATAGCTTACAGGACCAATTGCCGAAAGACGAACTTCTGGAGAACTTATATTTAGAATTTGTAAATCGCGTGAATGAAGTCGGCGTTGACGTGAACAAGGCGGTGCAGCAAGCCTATTGCGGGAATTTGGTGCAATTTGTGTGCGGGTTAGGACCGAGGAAAGGGCAGGCATTGATCAAGATGTTAAAGCAAACGAATCAAAGGTTAGAGAACAGAACACAGCTTGTGACCGCTTGTCATATGGGACCGAAGGTTTTTATTAACTGCGCCGGTTTTATCAAGATAGATACGAATAGTTTAGGGGACAGTACCGAAGCGTACGTAGAAGTTCTCGATGGATCCCGTGTTCATCCAGAAACATACGAATGGGCGAGAAAGATGGCAGTGGATGCTTTAGAATACGACGACGAGGACGCTAATCCTGCTGGAGCTCTCGAAGAGATCCTCGAATCTCCTGAGAGATTGAAAGATCTTGATTTGGATGCGTTCGCGGAAGAGCTCGAAAGACAAGGTTTCGGCAACAAATGCGTCACTTTGTACGATATCAGAGCAGAATTGAATTACAGATACAAAGATTTACGAGTATCATACCAGTCGCCAAGCGCGGAAAGATTGTTCGATGTTCTGACGAAAGAAACTCCAGAAACATTTTACGTGGGAAAATTGGTGTTAGCGACGGTGGTAGGAATAAGCCATAGGAAGCCACAGGGTGATCAATTGGATCAAGCTAATCCCGTGAGAAACGACGAAACGGGTTTGTGGCAATGTCCGTTTTGCTTGAAGAATGACTTTCCAGAACTCTCCGAAGTATGGAATCATTTTGACGCAGGAGCTTGCCCAGGCAAAGCGACTGGCGTGAGATTGAGATTAGACAACGGAATATCAGGTTATATTCATATAAAAAATTTATCCGACAGACACGTTGCGAATCCGGAAGAGAGAGTGAGCATAGGACAAATAATCCATTGTCGCATAATAAAGATTGAAGTAGAGCGATTCAGCGTTGAATGTACCAGCAAAAGTAGTGATCTCGCTGATAAAAATCACGAATGGAGGTACGTGTGTGTGAGCGTGTGTGCGTGCGTGTGTTTTTTTAAAGTTGATATCGTATAGTATTGTGTTTTCATTTTACGCCTAAGTGACACGCGTATGTGACGACGTCGGAAACGATTCTTTATTTCCAGACCGCAAAGGGATCCGTTTTACGACACGGAAGCGGAACAAAGGGATACGAAAGTCGAGGAAGATGCGAAAAAGGCAAAACAAAGACAGACCTATGTAAAACGGGTAATCGTGCATCCCTCTTTCCACAACATTAGTTTCGCGGAAGCTGAGAAATTAATGCAGACTATGAAACAAGGAGAAGCAATTGTCAGGCCTAGTAGTAAAGGTGCGGATCACTTGACTGTCACATGGAAAGTTACCGACGAGGTCTATCAACATATCGACGTAAGGGAGGAGGGAAAAGAAAATGCGTTTTCTCTGGGACAAAGTTTGTGGATTGGAAATGAAGAGTTCGAAGATTTAGATGAAATAATCGCGAGACATGTCAATCCTATGGCTGCGTACGCTTCGGAGTTGTTGGACTTCAAATATTATAGAGCAACTGTAGAAGGCATTAAAGACAAAGCGGAGGAAATATTGAAAGAGCAAAAGAAAGAAAATCCAGGAGGAATTCCGTATATAATATCCGCCGCAAAGGTTCGTAATAATCGAAAGCCGATTATTATTGTTGCGAGGCCGATATGAGGTTAGGTCCGAATGCGGTTCAGTGTACGTTCTCGCATTGTTTCAGAATTATCCAGGAAAATTTCTTTTATCTTACCTTCCGCGAACTCGATGTCGTCACGAGTATGTGACGGTGTCACCAGAAGGATTCCGATTTAGGGGGCAGATGTTCGGTAGAGTAAATGACTTGTTTCGATGGTTCAAAGAACATTTTCGGGATCCGGTACCTGGACAGTCTACTCCTAGCACTCCACGTGGCGCTATGACATCTAGAACACCCTATCATACGACGCCGGGTGCAGTAAGTGGTATGTACATTCATTTTTATCGATTTACTTTACTATCGATTTTACTTTTTACTAACTTTTCAATACTAACACGTCTACGTTTTACTACATAGGAATGAATCAAGAAGCTATACAAAGGGTGGCACAAAATCTTCCTCATCATATGTTACATTCTTTATCACAAGTAGCGAATCAAACTCCGCATCATTATCCACCCCATACACCAGGAACTGCAAACGCAACTGGTTATAGTGGAGTACACACTTATCCTAATACACCGTACACACCTTCTGGACAAACACCATTCATGACACCATACCAGACGCCGCATCATACTCCTCACCATCATGGTCAACCAACTCCGAGATATGGACAACAAACACCTAATCATCAACAAGGTCCCTTCATTCATCCACCTCCTCCTTCAGGGATAACAGCCCCAGGACATCACAGATCAACTCCATCGCACAGACCTACACCTCCTATGTCGACACCCGGTGATCCTATGGATTGGAAGAAAGCGGCAGAAGCGTGGGCACGATTAAAAAGCGGACCTCGAGTGTCGTGAGTATATTTGCTTATTATTTCATTTTAGTTTATTTTGTTTTATTTGCTATACAGTTTTAACGTATTTTTTAATTAGTGGTTCCACTCCAAGATACGAGGAATCTAGAAAAACACCACGAAATTATGAGGAATCAGTTGGAAGAACGACGCCGCGAAATAGAACTTCGACACGGACACCCTCTTATAAATCTCCTCGAGGTACTCCACACACCAATTCTAGCCCTCGGAGTATGTCTCTTAGTGGAGACGGTACTCCTTTATACGATGAAAGCTAACGAGTTCGCTTACTCATAATAAGTTATGCTTTCTGATTATATCATATTGTACGATATAAACAAAAAAGGATATTGGCAAAATTTTGAAAAGAATCGAAGTTTGTACCGCATTAAAAGTGCCCTTAACGGTGAGCGTTAATGGTACTTGCATAAAATAAATTTGCTGAGCCCACTTATCGAAAACTATGTAGAGTAACATGCCGATTTAACGATACTTCTCTTAACATTTACATATTTACGTGAATACTAAAGCGACATATTTCGCGCGCGCATCGTGTTACCATATATTCGATTCCCTTTGAAACATGCGTGTATTGAGCGCGGTTTGAAAAACCGTCAAACTTGATTTTTACTCATATTTTTATTCCCTATCGTACTGATTCATGCAGAATCACACATTAGTATGTATAACATATTTTTGTTTCAATTTTCTTATTATCGATACTGAATACTTGTACAGTTCTTATGTTTCTAACCTAGGAACGCCTCATGTTTCTTACATACTTTATACAATTGTTAAATTACACCATTAAACAATAAAACAATTTTATCTTGTAATTTTACTTTATTCTTTTAAGTAGACATGATGTCTTTTTTTATTTATAAGCATAACATGAAAATAAGAAATAATTTTCCAAAGAGTTAGCAACGAATGTTCATTGTTTTATTAAAAAATTCGAATCTTTTATTAGAAAAATACTTACGTTATGCTATACGTATATTAATCATAACTGTAAAATATGCAACTGCTTACACGTGAGAGATCTGATCGTCAGATAACACGTCATCTTTAACTGGAATGCCTTGATAATATGTACATGCTACATTACGATATGGCTCAGCCGAAGATGGATGATTTGTAGACCTGAATACATGATACCATTGATAATATCGATGCAATTTTGTAAAATTGATACTAATGATACACTTAAAAATTACATTTGTTTAGAAGGGCTGATAGGTAATGTATTCACTTCGCGATTCATATCCCGTTTACCCTTTAAGTTATATGATTTCTTAATGACAATAGGTACCTCCGATTCATACAAATTTTCTGCTTTACTTTTATTTCTTATTTCTTGCTTCGAATTTTTTACGTGCTTACTTTTATTAGGACTTCCATGATTAAGCATAGAACAATCTGACGAATTACCGGGTTTATATATTACATTATCATCTTTGAAAATAATGCGTTCTCCTGGAACCGAAAGAAACACAGAAAACAAATAAATTACGTATACATCTTTAACATTTTTCTAAATAAGAGAAAATAAATCATGATTTTTTACCTGTCCAATAATTTAATGGACGCATAATTTTTCTACCTTTTGAGCTTATAGCAACAGGTGTACCATTGATCATTGATGTATTGTTTAATCCTTCCATCATTTCGGCGTAACTAGTAGTAACAGCTAAACCGTGAACAATTTCCATTTATAGTTTAAAAATAAATAGTAAAAATCTTATTTAACTTACCACTTTCCAATAATTTCCATCTTTTACAAAACAGTTCTATTCTACTGGGACAGCCATAATGGCACTGGCTTAACAGCTCTTTAGGAACAGCTACATGAAACATAATGACGTATAATTAATGAGCAACGTGTAAATATAAATATTTAAATATTATTAAACATTACATCATTTTAATATCTAACCATGTTTTGTGTCGTTTAATTCGCCGATTAGATGATAAAATTCATGGTGTATTGTTTCGATCAGTCTGAGTGATATTCGATGAAGTACTTTATTCGTTGTAAAATTTGTATGTACAATATGGCCATCCTCACTATATGAATATAATAATGCAGTTTATACCAAATTAATAATACGAAATCTATATTTCAACACTTACTTTAATAAGTCTCCCTTGAAAATTAACTGCAATCCTGAGTCAGATAAAACTATTGGTCTCCAAGCAGATAATAATTTAGGTTTATTATTTTCAGACATTTTTAAATTAGCCGGTGATAATATTTTCAACGTGGTAGAATTATTTTCTTTAGAATATTGCTTGCTATCAGTTAGGGAATTTAAATTACTTTTCTTAATAGTATCAGATTTTCTAGGAGATTCTCTCTCCATTACACTTTCATTTTTTATTAATTCATTAATAGTCTTATCTTTATTCTCAACTACATATATTTTTCTATTTTGTGGAGAACATTTTGAATTTTTCTTTGTAATGTCTATATGAACAGGAACTGAGCGAATTATAACAGGACTTGGTGTTTTTCTTCTATCATTCTTTAAAGGAGTCGAAAACTCTTCATATTGTTGACAGGATAAATGTTTTTGATACTGATCCTTGATATTTTCGCTTTCTTTTTTGTTACCAGTATCTACAGACAAACTCATCTCTCTCATTTTATTCTTTCTTTTTGTAGACATATTAATCTCATGTTTCTGATTTTCAGTTGTTTCATGAGAAGGACAAAAGTGTTTGGTAGGCTTACAAGTAGCAGTAAAATCCTTTTCCTTTACAAAATGTTCCTGCATTTCATGAGTTGTCTTATTTTTCATAAAATCATTTGATTTCTCCCACTGACGACTTTTCAAAATATCGGACTTAACATGCTCATCATTATTACTTCGCAATTTTGCAAAATCATTTTTCTCGTCTTCTATAATACTGATACTAGAATCATCAAAATTTATTCCATTTGTGTCTTTAGATCTTATTGATTTTCTATAACTTTGTTTAGTACAATTTGATATAGTTGGGAATACGTCCAAAGTGCGCCGTTCTTTCGCAATATCATACTTCTGATGCATTACTTTTTTCCTTAATTTACGTTTATAAGGTTTCATTAGTTCTTTTTTTCGTCGTATCATTCTTTTCATCGATATTTTAGGAACTCCTGCATATACTTCATTTTCACTGTCAGAAGTACTGCTACTATTAGCTTCATTCATTTCTGCAAAAGTTCTTTTTCTTCGTAATACACTACTAGTGTCTATAATTTTACCTATATTATTTTCCAAAGGAGATGATTCTGATTGGCAATACTCCAGAGATTCATGATTTCTTTCATTATTTCCTTCTAGTTTTGAACTTTTTATATTAAATGTATCTTCTTTACTTGAACCGCATGTAACAACATAATTTAAGCAGTCTTCTAATATCTCAATAACTTTACTAATGCATTCATGAGAACAATTTTTATCTGTTAAATTATTTAGAATAAGGCTTAATTTATCTTTTAATCCGTTTTCTTCATTTCTAATACGAGAATAATTTAAATTTTTATCTTCCTGATGTATACAATTTTCTTTATCATTGTTATATTGTTTCTTTGAAGGTTCAATATCGACCTGATGAGATGAATTTTCAGTTATATCAGATATATACGTTTGTGTGAATGAATCACATTTCTTGTAACTATTTGAATTAAAATCTTGTTTGTCCTTCATCTCTAAGATATTACATGAACAATTGGTAACAGCTGATGCTCTAGATATATGAGATTCTTTAAAAGACTTTAAATTTAATATTCCATCTTCAGGACTATTTGCACATGCAAATGTAATATCTGTTACTTCAGTTTTTAAATCATCATCACTGTCAGTAATAGGAGTAGGCCAACGAAAAGTTCTGCTACATCCTTGTAAAAATGTTTTCCAACTTTGACAAACATTTTCCCAATCATCAGGAAATCCATTGTAAAATTTACTCCTAATGTAATCTGGTAATTCTAAATATAAATATAACAAACAATATTAAATATGTAAAGAATATAAATGTGTGAAACATAATTAACACATTGCCGATGGGAAACGAGAATTCTCGTTTTGCGACAAGTGTGCCCTTCATTGATAATTATAGGAAAATTTTAGCAAAAAATTATCCGTTGGCAATGTGTTAAGTACTATGAGATACTAACCACATTCATCATCAACAATATTTCCTTGCAAACAGTATAAATGTTCATAAATAGATTCAATGTTGGTACTTGTCAATCGCTTCATAATAGGCTTACTTTGAGCAATCTTTCCACTAACATAAATAAAGAAAATAATAAATGGATATTCAAACAAAATAATATTAACACTCACCATTCTAACATGCCTCTAATAATTAACTGACTTTGTTCATTTAACATGACTTTCCATTTTGTAAAAATTGTAACTTTCCTATTTGGACAAGTATCAGAAGGAATTTGTAAGGAACTAAAAGTATTGATGTATTTTTCTCTATCATTACAAGACTTGTATTTCTGTTTTCTCTTAAGAGATTCTTTATTAATGTCAAACAAAGGGCATTTACTCTGTGATGTTAGTAAATATTTTGTAACATTATATGTCACATTATTATCTGATTTTTTAGAACTACGAAAAACTTTGTCCAGAGTATGCGTTGGCATTAAAAAATGATCTGACTGACAATCACTTTCTTCACTAAACTTCTTAACACTAGATGTAGAAACCACTTTATGATTTCTGTTAATCCTTTTTCTTTGTAAAAGTATATTTCTCAAATTATTACTTGAAGAAACAACATCACTGCTAATATTAAAATCTTGTGAATAGGAAGTATTAGTAGTGGACTGATATTGATCTAAATTAATCCTAGAAATACTAGGAGACTTATGTGATGACCATGATTCATCTCCTTTACTGATTCCCTCTTTAAGTGAAGCTATTTTCAAGATGCGTTCCAATTTTTTGTTCCGTTGTTCCACTTGAAGATCACCAAACTTCATCTATGAAAATATAGATGAAATAAAAATATATTAAGAAGAGGATGATTAATACAATACTCAGGATACAATCACCTCACTTATGTGTGCCATTTGAAAAGTTTAATATTACCACTAGTTAATCATATGAATAAAATTTGAATGTAATTCATTGTTGATTAAATTTCTTAGAATCTTTGTTATGTTACTTATTATTTTACGTCATAATACCAGATATTAACACATCATAGTGTAACAGGCATTTATCAAATACCTGCCATAAGATTTCTGAGTAACATTTAGTTTAGATTTATTAACAATGTACTAAGGTACGGAATATTATAAACTGTAAGCAGAAATAAAATATTTTTTATATTTTAAACCACGCAACTTTTCACAAAGTTTTAGTTCTTCAACTTTTCTCTTAAATAGACTATCATTGGCGCGCAAATTCGAGATTTTTTACCAATTCCAAATTCAATGCTTAACCGTTTTAATGATTCAGTGTTTTTCAAACCAGACTTATATTGCACGTAGATTAAGAGCACAGACGAGATGCAGAATAGAGCATTTTTTTTTGCACGTCACGAGGGCTCTAGAGCCCCACTATCATTTTCATGTCGCTTCCAATGTTACCGATTCAGCTGTTACTCTATCGCATGAACGTAGTTTTAATCGCTCGTTGTGCATGCCCGTGAATGTGGCTTTGGGGCGGTCTGAATTTGATGTCATGTGGTGCCCCGTAATGTGAATGTTAAAGCGCGCCAAATTCAAATTGTGCAGCGGGTAGCCGAAGCAATGAACAAAAGAACTCAAAAGCATGTACATACAATGTACAGTAAATTTCATTGATTACTATTTGCAATTGCTCATTAAAATCAATGTTTATCGTCGTCGCTATGCACAAAACATTGCAGAGGTGTAAAACACTCGCTTTAAAGGAAATATGTATTGATAAACAAATAATGAGAACCAATCAAATTCATCCTCAAATAACTTTATATAAAATCTTTAATTTAATTGGAGACTTTCGTTTAACAAAAACATGTAAACATTGTATATGAAAATCAACGATACCTGAACTTTCATTCAATTTTCCTCGTTCAAAGAGCTCAGACGTATTATCTCGTAATAAAGTTATAGTTAAAACATTTCGTTTATTCTTGTTCCAATCAAGTTATTTATTAGTTTATTAAAAGTTTCAACGTTTGATTTTTCTTATTCATTAAGTTTCCTAAACTATCGTGAACAGAGTGCCTTGGCGCTCCACGGGCGACAATTCCCTCAAATTCCCCAAGAATCCACGTAACACAGCATAAAATAATATTACAATACAGACGAGATATAGAGTAGACCACTCATCCAATGTATATTTTTATTACACAGTCATTTTAAGAACTGCATCACGCAAAACGATCGATATTGGTCGTGTGTACATTGTTACTGTGTTGTCAATACACCCTTGGATCTCAAAACGCAAATGTGTGTGACTGAATCTAATCCGATTCATCTTAAGATTCGAAATTTTGGCTCCTTCATCATTTAAAATGACAAATGCCAAGAGTTCTTGATTTCAATTCCTACTACTAATAGCGTAGTGATATAATATCAGTCCTAATCGATACAGTAGGATGATGGTAATGGGGTTCTAGGACTCGGTGGTCGTGTGACAAAAAATACTATATCTCGTCTGTGATAGGATTATTTTGTGCTTACCTCGTCTGTATTAAAAGCAAAGTAAATGATGACAAAGGGAAGGAGAATTAAAAAAAGAAACAAAGAGTAATTAAAACACAAACAATGTTTAATAATTCTTTACAATCATACTAAACAAAATAAATATTATAAAAAAATAATATTTTTTTTCTGATGTAGTCACTCACATTTTATGAAATGCAACATACATTAAATATCACGTTCATTTAGATGGATAGTGTAAGAAAATACGTATGCTATAATAAATAATTGTAACGTAAGCAGCAACTAAATCGTTCAACGATATGTTCTTTTTTAAATTTGCGCAAGTAGCATTACAATTGATATCGAATCATTAGAGTAGGTTATTTAGTTTTACGTTGTAAAACAAATACGCAATATTGAAGTATTATACATGTGTGTTAGCTTAAGCTTCGGTCATTTAAAGCTTGAGAAACTAGTATCGTATAAATATTGGTCGTATCTTTTCTTTTTATTGTTACTATTATTATTGTTATTATTATTCGTCATTATCATTATCAATATCATCATTACCATCATTATCGTAATCATATTTTCTCCGTAAGAAGGGACATCTTATCCTCCCTTCCAATAAAAATGGTACAGTCATGTACTTTTCCATTTACTTTGTAATTGCAGAAATAATCGTACAAGCTAATAATTTTTTATCTTTAAAGCACGAATACACTATCTTTATACTGCTACTTTAATAACGAGTAAAATTTGACTAGATTTTTACATTAAAGGTTGCGTCATTTTAATTTGATGTTACAACTATCCTACTCCAAACTGTATGCATATAACTAACATCAATTATATTATTAAAGCGGATATAAGAAAACGTAGATCGCTCTTTTATTAACAAATATGCCGCTGTCCGAGTCTTTTTATAATTGTCTGTATATAAGTGGAGAACGAAAAGTCTGCTACGTATTTGTTATATCGACAGACAGTTCCTATTTTATGATTTACTACCCGCAGAATTATCAGCTTCTCTCGATCCTTCCGTCGAATCTGCAAATTCTTTTTGATGCACTTTAGAACTTCTATCCTTGTAGTCTCGTCGGTGATGATGATTATCACTATCTCTACGATCTTTTTGCGATATTTGTCCTCTATATTTTCGACTATTTTCATCACGATAATAGTGACGATATCCTCGAGATCGATAAAATGGAGATTCAAAAATCATCGTGTCTGGTTTCATGTTGCCGTTTTGAAGTTGCGGTAATACGGTAGAATCCATCTCTGTTTGGTGATCTGGTTTATCCTGTCGATTCCTCCCGTTTCTGTAGCATTTAGTATTGTGAAAAAGAAACTGCAAAATATACGAAATGCTAATAAATATCTTAAATGTTACCTTGGTGCTCTGCGGTGCCAATAGCTTTGACTCTGCAATGGTGGGAATTTATGGGGGGTTTGTTCTTGTAAGGTGCTCGTAGGTGATCCACGACTGTGATGACTATTGTGACTGTCACGAGATCGTGCTCCTTTGTTACTATTCGTATTTGCCGATGCTGCTTTTAATGTTGCAATTTCTTTTTTTTGTTCTTCATTCTGTTTACGCAATCGTTTTACCATTCCTTCTGCGACTTCCAAACATGTACCTAAATCTGTTCGAACAGGATCAAGTCTATTTCCCACCTGAATTCCTACGTCTGTCATTGGCTGTTTATTTGCTTTTTGTTCCTCAGCAGAACTCAATTTTCTACAATAAATAAAATATTCTTTATGACAGACTTATTTGTTACCATTTATGAATATGTATTTCCCATAGCTATTGCAATTACTAACATTTTCTGTTGCTCAATAATTTCAGATAAATACTGGTTTTGCGTTTTAGCCTCTTGCAAAGAAATCTTAGTATCTTGCAAATCTTTCTCTAAAAGTTCCACTTGCAATGGTATAATATTCACGCATATTGGGCTACCCTGTATAACAAAAATTTATACATAATTTTCCTCTAACATTAAAATATCTTAGCATTGCAAAGAATACCTTTGGTTTCACAAACCCAGTTCCATTATCTTCAGGAGATGAAGGACTGCTAGGCATATAAGTAGATCCTTTTGAGAATACTAATTGAAACTGCAAATCTATGTACAGATATCAAATATTAGAGTTTTGTTTACAAACAGAACAAATACATTATGAATATACAATATTATAACACATTGTCTACCTCTATTCTTTTGACGTAATGACTCAACTTCTTGGTGTAAGGCAACTAAAGTTGCTTGATGTTGTTCTTGTAAAAATTTCATATTTTGTTCAAGTTGAGTTACGCTATCAATGTTTATAGTTTGATGTCTTACATTTTGACTTAAACCTTCATTTCTTTCTGTTAATGTTACTATATCCGATGGTGATTTCTTCCCCTGAAAATAACATTTGTATATTTCAATAATTAAAAGATTTACACTTTGTTAATAAGATGTTCATGATACTTACTTGAGGAAAAGGTACAGTTGGCAATTTAACTAATACTGTAGATGCCATCTTAGGAATGCTTACTTAAGATATGAAGACATAAATGTTTATAGTTTTGATGACATACAAAATTTTTTTATAAGATACAAATAAATTATTTTATTATCGCAAAAAAGTTTCCTTAGCAGTTTATTGCGTTTTCAAGAT